GTGTCTGCCCAGACCAAGGTCTCCCCCTAATTCCTAGCATCCTGAAATGGCTCTGAAAAGGTCTTTACAGACCGAAAGGGCCTAACCCAACAAAATAAAACAAACAAACGTAGCGGCAAAAACTTTTACAACATTACAGCTGGTTGGTTTTTAACACTTTCTCTTTTTTAATATTTTATGAAACCCTCGCGAGCCCTTTGGGCTGGGTAGCGTTTTTCGCCCCCTGACGAATATTGGCGATATAGCTTCCGAACGCTTAGGGATAGGAAAGCGAGACTTGCAATAGCTTTTCCCCAATCAATTTGGCACCTTCTGGGGTAAAAAATGGACCTAGCCCCCTTGATGGCGCCACAGGGTCGATTTTCTTAGCCCCTGCACGGCCAGCAAACTTCCGCGTCCCAGACATGATCTTCAAATAGGTGCTCAAAATAGTTTTAGAGGTAAAGACAAATTACGAGCACGGTTGTGCAGCGTTTGACCCAGGGATGAATACAAAAATAGTTTTGGTGACCTGAATTCAAAGGTCAGGTCAGCGACCCGGAGCTGGGTTTCAATGTTTCGCAAATAACTTGAACAAAATGGTCCTTATAGAGATAGGTATATCAATATTCAATGGTGCCAACGCATTTTTCTTGTCAAGCCGCGTCGAATGACACATATTTGTTTGGAAAAGGTAAAGTTTTATGTTGACCCCATGTGACCTAGAATGACCTTTGGACTTTGGTTGACCTTGACACACGAAAGGTCGTGAACGATGGATTCGTTAGCCACTGATCACGAATCTGGCATCCATTTTGCTCTAAACATTCATTTTGGAGCCTCAGAAATTCAGAATGGCAATATTGTCTTAATTATTATGGCTGACTTGAATCCGTGAAATAGCCTCTAGCAAGGATACTCTTCCGTGGCCCTGACCGTGGAACAGCCCTGTATCGTAAGACGAACAAAAAATAGGGGCCTGATAAGCTTCAAAACATCTCAAAACATCTCGGAATTTAGCATGCAAGATATAAGAAAAGGTGCAAAATTGGAGGTCAATTTTGAGCATCACCTTGACATTGACCTTGAATGTTGAGCACACCATCGAGATCCTAAGCTTCTTTTCTTTCGTTTCTCACCCATTTTAGCCAGTTTTATGCATTCTGCCGTCTACTTGAAGTTAGAACACTAACTTTGAAATCATTACACATATGCCGGTTTTTGCTTTGACCTTGACCTCTGACCTTGCAAAATGACCTGAGGTCAAAAAATTTAAGTGCTTTAGAATTGTCTCGTAAAGACCTTTCGTTTGTTGCCACTTTTGGTTCCGTAGCTCCCTTATTTACGTAGTTAGACAGGGGAAGGGGGCGAAAAACGCCCCCCGGGCTGCAGTGGTTGGGATTAGGGACCGGCCGAGTTAACAACTGGCAAAGCTACCACTCCGAAGCCGGGCACATTTCTAAATATGAAATGTATGCTTGTCACCAAGTTGTATGGCTTGTCCGCTAATATTTCCCTCCATGCCTTTTCCAAATGTCGCTCGAGCCACTGGAGGATCCAGGAACGGCCATTTGGGGCAAATGCTCCTCCCACTCGCAACGCACGAAATCGACGAAAATTTGCGCTTTTCGAGAATAAAATGAAAGCTAAGCAACTTTTATGACGAAGCATTTTTAACGGCATAGCAGGACGTAAGGACTCGAAACCCGATCAGTTTTTTTTTTAATTTGGAGAAACTTTTTTGAGGGGTATGCCCTCCCTCAGCGTCCAGGACCTCCTTTTTGCCCCTGGATCCGCCAGTGCCGACTCAGACTGGTTGCCAGTTCCCGCTAAGCAAGGCTTTCTTTCACAGCTGACAACAAATTATAAATCGAGTTTTGGTCGATGAAGCTGCCGGGCTATTGCGCCTCTGTGTCCCAAAATCCGTAAAAAAAAGTTTTCGCGTACTATCTTTGACTACGTTTTCGTTGTGCCAGGCGCTTCGACTTGCGCAAAAAGTGGCCTCGACATTGAAATGAATGGCCTAGTTTTCTTTCCGTGACGGCTGCCGTCTTCCCGTGAGCTAAACCTCTGCCATGAACAAGCCTGAGGGATTCCTGACTCCAAGTTTGGCGTGCTGACCACCTGCTTTATGGATGTAACGTAAAACCCAGTAGAACGATAGGCGCTGTTTCGTCAAATGCCATGATCTTGTGAGGCTATTTGGCGGTTTCAATGCTTAATACTTTTTCAGCGCTGGCTATGCTTTCACAGAGTGGATCACAATCTGCTGTGCACATTTGGGGTTCGTGACTTTTGTTGACCTCTATAGGTCAAACGGCTAAGAGTGACGCCGAATGGTTTGCGCTGCGTATTCCACACCGCATGGGCTATAACTACATTGTGCGCGAGTTTCAAGTGGATCCGAGAAGTCCCAAATGTGAGCTGAATCCGGACTGACGCCTACTGGGTCCAATTGGGTACGCTAGGTGTTCCTCGATGTTAACTGTCATTGTTGCCAGCGGTGCAACGTGCTTTAACAATCGGGCCGTCGGCGTTTGTGCATGATGTGTAATGTGCAATGTGCATGCTGTTTGTAGTTGCCGGGGTGGAACTGGAAAGGAGGTGCGTAGTCAGAACCGTGCGTGACTATAACCCGATTGGTTGAGCCTCGGATGATGTCACTGGATCGGGTGATAGGGCGTGTCCGCCTAGTGTCAGGAAGTATATAAACTCGGAGAGGAATGCAAAGGGGGCTCGACGTCTGCACGCCGAAAAGGCGCGCTACGCTGAGCGCCCTACTTCTCCCCACGCCTGGCTACTGGTTCGAGGTAAGTTCCGATTATGCTGGGATGATTGCGTAGGCTCAATGCCCATCCCATAGTTGGGGTAGGAGCACCGGGGAGGAGGGTTAGGTTAGCTTCCGCGCTGTTGAACCACAATGCATCGTATGTTGCTTTGCAAAAATCCCCAACCAATAGATGATGTTAACCCGCGCCCAGATGGGGTCTGCCGAGCAACGCGCTCTGATGGGGGGGGCATTTTGGCCCCCCCCCCTCAGATCTCGAGAACCACGCAACATAGCAACAAGCGGTAAACGGTGTTGGATAGCCCCAGCGGGGAACTACCTTGTGACCCAATTTCATTGACCTCGGTCAAACCGATGACGTCACAGGTCAGGTCAAAGGTCGAATTTTCACCGTTTACAGGCATTTCAAGAAATGCGTTGTAAAATCGAGTAAAATGCATTTCATTGAAAATCATCGATGGAGAAATGTTCTTCAAACACATATTTTGCTATTTGAGGTCACTGATACCAGGTCAGGTCACAGAGGTCAGGTCACTGGGGGGGTCACAATATGAAAGTGTCGTGTGATACATGTTTTATGGTCCATTTTACATGACAAATGCGATTATGTGGGTCAGACAGACTTTAGGGCCAGCTTAGGTCACGTTTTGGTCAAGGTCAGGTCAAGGTCAGGTCAAGGTCAGGTCAAATTTGGTCAAATTTCAAAGTTGGTATTTTTGCATAAAATGGGTATCGATTCGATGCAGCTCGTCACGGGGAGTTCAATGGTGGTCTCCGTTTTGCGCTACGAGGTCTAAAATTGCTAAAAATTGAGTTCAAAAATTTGACGTAATCAATTTTTAACAGTTTTTTTTCGCTATAACTTGGCCAAAAAAAGAGGTATCGATCTAAAATTTGGTATGTATATCGAAGAGCGCAGGGACTATCACATATATTCCGGTTTTTTCGAAATTCGAAAATTTTTTGGAAATTTTTCGAGTTTTTCTAAAAAATCATTTTTTTTAATTTTTGGGGGTCAAAATCCCAAAATTTCGAAAATCCGAGATAGCAGTTTTGTAGCGCCGTCTTTTCTCTACACAACCATATAAAGGACTTTAAAATTGCTTGTTAACTGTAGAATTGGTGAGCGTTTCAAGATGTCATGTTTTTTGCTCATTTTTGCTCGAACATGACCTCAGTTTGACCTCAATAACTTCTGACCTGAGGTGACCTGTGACTTGAAATTTTGTGTGAAGGTGTCAAATTGATGCCCGGTAAGGTACCCAAAATTTGGCGGCGCTGCGCGCCGCCGTTTTCTCGCTATTAAAGAAAAACCACAGGGGGGGCCAAAATGCCCCTCCCCCCCCATCAGGGCGCGGGTTAATGTAGATACCTATATTGGTTTGACAGTGCAGTGTTTCGGGTGGCAGACGGGTGGAAGGCTTGGGAAACGTAAACGTCATGTGCAGAACGTCATGTAGAGTCCAACATTGTCATGATAGAGAAGAATACAGATAATGGGGCGGGGGGGGGAGGTGGCTATAGGCTAACACAGACAGACCAAGTCTCCCCCATAATGACACAGCGTGCGATTGGACATACCTGCACCGTTTCCACCCATGTGAAAAAATCTTGCAAGATTGTCTTGCACGATTTGTACAAGACAAAGTATGCAAGAAATTGGGACATATTCTTGCATGATCTTATAAGATTATCATACATGATTCTTGCAAGTCTTGTACCAGATTCTTGCCAGATTCCTGCAAGTCTTGTACCAGATTCTTGTAAGTCTTGTACCAGATTCTTGCAACTCTTGTACAAGACTCTTGCAAGTCATGTACAAGACTCTTGCAAGTCTTGTACAAGACTCTTGCAAGTCTTGTACAAGACTCTTGCAAGTCTTGTACAAGACTCTTGCAAGTCTTGTACAAGACTCTTGCAAGTCTTATACAAGATTCTTGCATGTCTTGTACAGGGCTCTTGCAAGAGTCTTGTAAGACTCTTACATGTACTGTATAAGAATCTTGCAAGAGTCTTGTACAAGACTCTTGCATGTCTTGTACAAAGCTTTTGCTAGAGTCTTACCAGACTCTTGCAAGAGTCTTGTACAAGACTCCAGCATGTCTCGTACCAGCCTCTGGCAAACCTTTTACAAGACTTGCTAAGACTCTGGCAAGTCTTGAGCAAGACTTGCAAGTTTTATCAAAGACTTGCAAGCCTTGCACAAGACTTCCAAATTCCAGACACATCGCCCTAAGATATCGTTTCAATTGTATTTATGTCGAGACCCATGTGTACGAAATCCATGAAGTGAAATGAAATGATGTTCCAGCGTAAACGTTAAAATCAATATTCACAAAAAAATGTCAATCTGGGAACACATATTACCAGCCCTTTACTTTTCGAGTCACCCACACGCCACAGTCACATCACCTCATCACACGTTGACGTCACGTCACGTCACAATTATCGTCGAGGCCGCCGTTTCGTCTGCATCCAGCCACTCGAACACAGGAGGATGTCGTTCGTCGTGCCTTGCATCGCATATAATTGGTGAGCCGAGATTTTTTATTGCTGAAATGAAATGACATTCATATAATCAGGTATCCGCCATCCGGAGCCAGATGTGAAAAGGTGAGCCAGTATCAGCCAAAAAGAAGAATTGATGGGACTTAAAGTTAATTCAGTGAGCAATCGTTTTCGGTTAAAGATATCAGCATATTTAGCTATCATACTCACATACCTACTATCCTGTATACACTCACCTGGGTCCAGTTTCGCCGCATGACGCCACCGTCAGCACTATTCCCTGTGTGGCAGGCAAAAAATGACAGGTGATCAACTATTTTCAAGTGAACGTTTCGGCGCCGGTTTTGGTCTGTGACAATGCAAATATTGGGATCAATTTTCTTATTGTTACACGGCATGGCAGAAACTTACCTACCTGCAGGTTGTTGTTGTTGTTGTTCTCCCCGGGTCGGCTCACGGCCGACCGTAGCCCAACGGCTCTTGGTGACTGAGGTAGCCGCGGCTCAAGGCCGCCACAGCCCCGCCGTCCCGAAGCTGCGTAGGGTCCGGTCTGATATTGCCGAGTAGGCGGAGCCTCGCGCCAGCCAAGCACGGGCACCTCAGCAGCACGTGCTCCGGCGTGTCCGGGCCCTCGCGACACACCAGGCAGCGCGCCGCCGGGCAGGCCAGGTCACTGCACTGAGGGCAGTCGCGCTCGGGGCGGCGTCCGATTCTGTGCAGGTAGCTCTGCGAGCGGCTCCAGTGTCCCGCCCGCAGCTGGTGGACGTTGACCGCCTCGTCGCGAGACTCCAGGAGCACCGGCATCGGCATCCGGTCTCCCATGATGGTTTTGAAGAAGCTGTCTGGCCAGCTGCGACGCCATGCCTTGGTGGCGGAGCGGCCGACTGCCTTCACCATCGAGCGGACGTCCGTTGGGACGGCGTCTTGCGACAGGCTGGATGCCTCTTTAGCCAGCACGTCCGCTCTCTCGTTGCCGGGTATTCCGCAGTGCGCTGGGATCCACTGCATGAAGACTCGGCGTCCTCCGTCCGTGAGCGCCAGGAGCAGTCGCCATACGGCGGCGCCGAGTGCTGTCGTCTGGCTCCCAGCCCCACTCGCCAGTGTGGCGAGCGCCGCCTGCGAGTCGGCGCAGACGATGACCGGGCTCTCCGCCAGGCCGCCCTCCAGCTGCAGCAGCATCTCCAGTGCCCCGCGGATCGCCACCAGTTCGGCGCGGGTGCTGCTGCATATCTTGCCTGCAGGGGCTCGGAGCTCGTGTTCCTCGCCTGAGGGGAGGATTATCAGCGCTCCACTCCCTCCGGCTGAGACACCTCCCTCCGCCGAGCCGTCGCTCCACACCCATACGGCGTCGTCTGGGAGGGTGGCCAGATCTCTCCCGCCGGACGTCGGGTGGTGCTGTGCGGCTGATGTGGTTGCCGATGTCAAGTCTGATCTGGACCCTGGTGTCATCGATCCACGGCGGGATGGTGACGTGCAGGCGCTCCTCCACAGGTACGTCTCGCACGCCCGCGCTCACCAGGGCGCGCGCCCCCGTGTCGCGCCAGCCGGTGGTGGTGCGGAGCCGCCGTGGGGCCGTTGCTTCGGCCACCGCACGCAGTGGGTCGCCGCTTCTTTGTGAGGCTGCCAGACAGCTCAGTCTGGCAGCGAGCAGGTCCCGACGTGCTCTCACGGGAACCAAACCGGCTTCCGCGAGGAGCGGATCCCTCGGCGTGCTCACGGGGCACCCGGTGATAACGCGGGCTGCCGCGCGCATCTCCATCTCCAGTAGCTCTACGTGGGACTCGGACGTTGCAGGGAGCCATGCAGCCGCCGCGTATTCCAGGGCACCGCGGATGTAGCCGTTGGCCACTACTCGCAGCTGCGGCTCCCGCAGACCCCAGGAACGCCCGGTCATCTTACGGAGCTGTGCGATCCTCGGCTTGGTCTTCTTCCGGACGCGCGCGCAGTGCTCGCCCATGTGAAGTTGGCGGTCCAGGGTTACACCGAGAAGGTGAAGGTGTCTCCCAGCGTCCACTCGTGCCCCGTCTACGTGGATGTACAGGTCCCGGGCGTCGACGTAGTGCTGCGACAGGGCTAAAACTTGCGTTTTGCTTCCTGCCAGCCGCATCTTCCAGTCGCGGGCCCATTTCGCTATGGCATCCGCCGCTTGTTGAGCCCGGTCCCTGGCTTCCGCTATCGTACCGCCGGAACACAGTGTTGCAGTGTCATCGGCGTACAGGAAGACAGAGGTGCCCGGGATCCGCTTCAGCGCCGCCACGAGGTCCGCCGACCACAGCGTGAACAGGGTCGGTGCGAGGACGGACCCCTGCGGCAGGCCAGCTCGGAATGGGCGGTTCCGGCTCCGTGACCCATTGACCTCCGCGCAAGCGCGTCGGTCTCGGAGGAAGTGGTGAATCCACGTGACAAGGCACCGTGGAAGGTGATGGGACATCTTCAGTCGCAGCATTTGATGGTCGATTACATCGTAGGCCCGGGAGAAGTCGTAGGCCGTCAACACGAACCTGGCGGCGGTCTTGCCGTCAGACGGGCGTCCCTTCGGTGGCGGCCGGTTCCACCCGTCCTGGACTTCTTGTATGAGTCGTCCCAGGTTCTCCTCTGCAGAGCGGCCACGGCGAAAACCGACCTGCTCTGCGGGGATAATGTTGTCTCGCTCCAGTAGGTGCGTGAGCCTAGCTGCCACCATCCGCTCCATCAGCTTGGCGACGTGACTGGTGAGCGATATCGGACGGTAGCTAGTGACCTCTTGAGGGTCCTTCCCGGCCTTAGGGATCGGTATGATGATTGCTCTCCTCCATACCGAGGGGACTTCAGCGGAGATCCACGACTTGTTGATGACGTGCAGTAGCGCGGCCTGGGCCACCGGCCCGAGGTGCTTGAGGTGTTCCGCACATACATCGTCGGCGCCGGGAGCCTTCTTCATTTTCAGCTTGTCCAGCTGGGTCCTCATCTCTTGTCTGGAGAAGGGCTGGCAGGCACCATCGCGCTGTCCAGCACATGAACAGGGGCGCGTCTTCACCACCCTCAGATCAGCCTTCACTGATCGATCACGCCTCCTGTGACGGGTGTGGCTGCTGACGTTTGCGTAGGTGCGGACAAACGCCTCGGCCTTGGCCCGGTCCTCCGCGACGAGTTGGCCGCGGTCCCCGTTAATGGCCTGGCCGGGGCAGGTGTCCGTCACCGCACCCTCCATCTTGCGCAGGATCTTTGTGACGCGGCCCAAGGCCGCGCGGCGGTTCAGTTCGGTAGACGCAAAGTCCTGGAACGCGCGGCGCCTGGCGTCAGCCTCGACATCTGCAGCGTGCCTCTTCTTCTCTTTCCAGCGCGTCTGGTTTTCCGGGGACGGGTCCTCTTGGACGGCTGCTCTTGCCGCTCTCCGTTCCTCCACCGCACGCACCAGCTCCGGGTCGAGCGCCCACGGCTTGGGGTCCGCACGGGCGCCCCGGGGAACGCACCGCGCGCTCGCCTCGATGATAGCATCGTTGAAACGCGCGGCGAGTCTCTCCACCGAGGTCTCTCCCAGCGTCAGGTCGGCCATCGTCTCCTCGCAACGGGCCGTGAAAGCCGTCCAGTCGGCTTTATGGAAGGCCCAGCGCGTCTTCCTGATGCGACGAGGCCGGTGTCCCGAGGTGGTGACTGCGACCATCTGCGGGAGGTGGTCGCTCCCCAGATCGGTGCCGACCTCCCACGTGCAGCGCCGGGCCAGGTCACTGTGCGCCAGAGTGACGTCAGGAGCTGAGAGGCGGGCGTCCTCCCCGTAGCCGGCCCGTGTGGGGGTCCCGGAGTTGAGCACCTGCCAGTCGTGGCGGACCGTCCACTCGTAGATGGAGTCACCGACCCTGTCCGGGTTTAAACAAGAAACATCCCAGACAGGGTGGTGGCTGTTGAGATCTCCCGTGATGATAGTGGCATCATTGCTCGGGAAAGCGTCCAGGCTGAAGAAGTCGACCCGCTCGTCCTGGGCGGATGTTCGGATGGGCGGGCGGTACACATTGAAGATGTCGAGGTGTCTGGAGTGTTGTCTTGCTGTGCTCAGGATGACACGGATGGCACAGCACTCGGTGGTGTCGTCTTGAGGCTGAAGGGGGGAGCTCCTGATGGTGGTGAAGTTCAGACCGTTCCTGACCAGGATTGCAACGTCCCCGCCGCGGACCGGTCCACCGTCCCTCCTGCCTCGGGCCCTTCTTGAGACTGCGGTCGTCTGGTACCCCGGGACCGTGAGGGCCTTGCCAGCCAACTGAGCCTCCTGGATCGCCGCCACGTCCACCTTCATGTCCGACAGCCAGCGGCTGAGCTCCCCGATCTTCCCGAGGACACCCTCCGCGTTCCAGCTGGTCACCAGCAGTCGGCTTCGGACTTGGCAGTTGTGATGGTACCTCCGATTCTTGGCTCTCCGGCTGTGGCCTCCCCTGGGCACCCATGGGCCGCAGTCCCTCCTGCCCCCGCCGTCGGGCCTCACGGCGGGGGGCGCGTCGCTCACTTAGCTACGCGGGCCCGGGCTGCCGTCGTACGGCGCCCAGGCCCGCGGAGCTCCGGCGGTGGAGATGGAGAGACGTGTCGGTATGCAGCCTCGGGGCGGCGGGGCCGCAGGGCGTCGACCCCACGGCGTCCGCACTGTCGGGAGCATCTGGGTTCCATTTGGTGCAGCGCGCGTGGTCTTCGCACCGCGCGCGCCCGGGCCCTCGGATCGCCACCGTAGCAGCAGTCGTCGGACCCCCGCCGTCCACCGCGGGGAGGCGGAACCCGTCGGACGGACCTACCTGCAGGTCGGAAGAGGAGACGGCAGACGGCACCGCAACGCACACACTTAACACTTCCGTCCTCACATCGCGAGCGGGCAGCGAATGGGACGGACGGAATGCGGCGGAGGGGGACGCGGAGTTCCCCCTCCTCGCCTCAGGCGGGGTCTGCCGTCCGTCCCGGACGGGAGACCCCGCCTGAGGCGAGGAGCCGCCGCCGAAGTCGCCCGCCGCCGACCGTACAGTCTCAAAAACGGACAAGTGGTCGCTAAATTCCAGTCGGTACAGTCTCTAGAACACTTGTGCGTCGCTTACAACTGTTCTCCAGTCCGTGGGACCGTGTGGGACAAATGATCGCATTTGATTGATAATTCATCGAGCCCTTTAATTAAGCGAAAAACATTACTTAAAGGTGTCAAGTGATTAGCGGGAGTTACCTGGGATCAGCACATTCTTGTAAGATTCTTCAATCTTACCATAATCAGCATTCTTGCAATAACCTGCCTATACCAGATTCTTATAAGATCTGTATGATGTTGGGCAATCTTGTACAAGATCTGCTCAATCTTACCAGAATCAGCATTCTTGCAAGAATCTGCCTATACCAGATTCTTATAAGATCTGTATGATGTTGGGTAATCTTGTACAAGATCTGCTAAGTCTTACAAGACTGTCTTCAGAATCTTATAAGATCATGCAAGATAGTGAAGATTCTGGTAAAATCTTGTACGACTTTTTTACATGGGCATGTTCAGAAGGCTGATGGAACTTCCTGAACAGGAGACCACCGCGCTGTCCGGTCTTAGAATCTCGCAAGCATCTGATCGGCAGATCCTCTTCCTGTCCGGACCTCAGTTATCTTTGACAGTTCACGTTGGTTTTCAGTTCACCACACTTCGGACCTAAATTTACTTGCACATGCAAACGTGAGACTCAAGTGTCACATTCTAGATAACGCCATGCATGGTGCCTAGGGGAAAGTGGGGTAAGACGGGCGGGGTAGGAAAGACGGGCACCGGCCCTCTAGCCCAAACCGTTGGCGCTAGCAACCTCTTGTTGTGGTTGGTAATCGGCCGTGTGGTTCTTTGCTGTGAGGTGAAGGCAGAGGTACGCATCTTAAATAGTTTTTGAAAAATTGTGGAAAAGCTAAAAACGTGCCTTGCACTCTAAGCAGAACTATCGTGTTTCGTAGTGTTTTCTGACCTCGCTGTTTCATATTTTGTTTTGGAAATTTGATGAGAGTTTCGTCTTAGGGTGTCATCCAAATGTGTATGCTGGCGAATGAATCCTTTAATTTGGTGCCCGGAGGCGGTGTGATATCCTTATTGGCAGCCGAATGGGGTAAGACGGGCAACAATGATGAAAGGAATGCAAACCATCTGATATTGTTATTTTAAGCTAACTTACGCTGTTCTACATCATTTGCAACGCATTTCCATCGAAATTATTTAAATAGACAGCTTTGAATTTGTTTAATTTTTTCATTACATCGATCAATACCATTACGCCTATAAGTAGCCGTGCGATGCTACGAACCTTACAATATTGACTGTAAGATCAAAAGCCAGATGTGTAAGATGTATTAGCATAATTATTCGGCAGTAAATATGTAAAGAAGTTCAAACTAACGTTGTGCCCGTCTTGCCCCAACATCAGTGCCCGTCTTACCCTCCCCGGTGGGGTAAGACGGGTTTTTGCAGGGTCTTGCTAAAAACACTCTCAATTGAAAAGTATTGGATTTAGACCTTAGGTGTCAAAGGGGCACTGAAAGAAAAATGCCTGAAGATGGTTGTGCTAAATTGGTGAAGCAATCGAAGAAAAGACTTCAGAGGTACAGACCCGCAAAACTAACATGCCCGTCATACCCCACTTTCCCCTACTGCCTACCTGGCTCCAAAAAACACGCTCCCGTGCCTGGCACCGCACCGCAAACACGGGCTCGCGCACAGGAGGAGCGCTTCCCGGTTCCACTTTGGCACGCCCGATCGTCTTCTGAAGCTTGTTCAGCGAACGGAGCACGCCCGTGAGACCTCACGCGGCGACCGCGCGGCGGGTGCGTGTCGATCGGCCTGCCATCTGGTGGCCAGGTGCTGCACTACCCGGGGCGGAAGTGTAGGAATGAGGGAGGTGGACCTAGTCCACCTTAGATTAAATTACGGTGTGTAATGACTTTGTTTGTGTTGGACATTCCGAAAAGAGTTCCTATTCGCGTTGCCCTCGCATCTGGCACATGGGGTCGAACAGACTCCCTCTGTTTTTCACCAATGACTCGTTCAATCAAAAAGCGATTGATCGCAACGAAACTTAAAAAAAAAATATTTTCATTCAACGAAACTTTCAAGAAACTTTCAAAGCCCTGAAGTATCTAAATATTTTTCACATCCTCCCTGGAAAGTAAATGACCTTAGCCCAAATGGTTTTGGCCTGTGACTTTATTGTCGCTGTACTATGCCAGACCAAATAGCGATTAGAAGCATGTCCGCGCACATTAGGCATTTGTACGTTTCCAGATAAGTTTCCAGATTCAATCTGGAGACCTTGCTGGAAACCCTCAGCGTGGCGCGGGTCAAAACAGCCATGGCTGTCCAGTGTTCACAGTGATATATCGATCTGTCCATGCCCCTCAGTTATGTCCCGGTCTCTGTTCAGTGGTCCGTCTACTCAGCAATCTGTCAGCGGCAGCCGCACCGGTCAGAGCCCGGCACCCGTGACCCGCGCGCGGCGACACGCTTCTCACGGTGCAGGCGGTCACGTGACGCGCGCCCGTGACGTCACCGCGCAGAGGTGAGAGGTGCGCCATTCGACCGCCATGTGGACGCCGCCTAACTCAGGCACCGGGACCCACCTAATTGGGAGTGATTACAGGCTGGGGAACCTGCCGCGGACCGGAAAATGGGAATTAGTGGTGCTTTGAATTAGCTATGTGGTGTGCAGCTTGCGAAATAATAGTCCAACGGTGCTGGGATGTAGCATTGAATGAAAAAATATATAAATGATATTTTAATTTCTCATAGAAATGCGTATTGTGCATCCAATAGCGCTTTTCCAGTTATTATTGATTTTGTCAAAAAACTGCATAGGCAGGTACTTACCACCCCGTGAGACGAACCCTGCTTATTATAAACCAATGCTTGTTTCAGAGCAAGATTTTTCTCGGAAAGAAAATAATTACCTAATTTAGGTACTGTTCATCGCTGGCATAATACGTTGGTCTGCAGTGCCACAAAGAATCAAAATGCTTTTTTGTTGCCAGACCTGACTGAGGACAGGACCAGGTGAGGGAGGGGGCGGGGCGTGGAGGGAGGGACGGGGGAGCGGTCAGCCAGCGGCGCTGATAAGGCGGCCTGCTATCGAAGGTATCGGTCGCGTTCCGAGCGGCCGGCCGGCGCGGCGCCCAGTATCGGTGCTGACGGGGTATCGTCGCGGCGCGAGCTCCCCGCGCCGCGGCCCGTGGTAGTCGTCACGTGGTGGCAGTCCGTCGACCAGTCCCCGGTGCAGTTGTGGTTACCTGGAGGCGTGTTTACCTGCATAGGTGTACAGATTGCAGGTGTCCTGTGAGTAGCCCAAAACGTGGGAGAGCGCAGTGTACAGCATGAAAGAGGAAACAAATCAATTAGTATCTATAAATTGATGTTTTAGGCATGGCTATAGTATGCTCATTGCTCAGTATACGTTCACAACTGTTTCCCTTAGCCTTAATCATTTTTTGAAGTTTTAACGTTATCATAGGCATGAGTATAGCTATTCAGTATTCAGCCTATCGCGTTCCTCATAATTTTTATTTTTATCATGCCTCCTGAAATTAACGTTTTCAGTTTTGCATGTAACTCATGAGCGATGGTGGTTGTTGCAGATGCTGACTTGAGCTTCAGTTGTCTACCCCAGTACCGGAACTGTTCAGGCATGTTGACGACACATGTGACGAAACAATGCAATAATGTGACACAGAAGCTGAATGAAGACAGAGCCATGAAGCAATTGTGAATAGCCTGAACTACGATAATGTTCGGAACAATGAGTTTCCTGCTCAACTCCCGGTTCGTGGGCCGCTACATCTCTCTGCTACTGCTCGTCTGCTGTGTGGCAGCCACGGTATTTCTCCTGTACCGTCCTGCCTCCGCCCCAGCGGTGCCACCCCCCGAGCTGCCGTGGCTCGGGACTTCCGGTGACGCCGCCTGCCGCCTTCCGCCGCTGCCTCTCAACCCACCCGAGCTGCAGCCTCTGTTCCACCACGTTCCTCCACTCGTCTGTGACCCTGAGCCTGCCTGGGTCACCATGCGCGGCAGCTACGTGAACATCAGCGCCACGGCGCGACGAGCTCACGGACGTGTCACCTGCCAGTTCACCGACCTGCTGCTCAAGGACGACATGTGGGCCGTCCAGGGGTTCCGCTCCAACTCAGAGGAGGGATACACTCTGAAGGAGTCTGACTTTGTGAGTGTCAGCTGCACCGCTGAGGACGGAGAGACGTGGAATAATATTGTTGCCGGAGTTCGCAAGAACGCGGCGCCGCACGCACTGCCGCTGTCGGACTTGCCCAAGGACCACCTTCCCGTGAACATTCTCATCTGGGGCTTCGACTCGCTGTCACGCAACACGTTCATGCGCAAGCTGCCACGCACGTACGCCTTCCTGCGTGATGAGCTGCAAGCCACTGTTCTGCGCGGCTACAACATCGTGGGGGACGGCACGCCGCAGGCTTTGATCCCCATCCTAACCGGGCGGACCGAACGGGAGCTGCCCGACACCCGTCGGCGGACCTGGGGCTCCCAGATGGTCAACGTGTACCCGTTTCTCTGGAAGGACTTCCAGAGTGACGGCTACGTGACCGCCTTCAACGAGGACCAACCGGACATCGGCACCTTCCAGTATCGGCTGCGTGGCTTCAACCCTCAGCCGACGACGCACTACATGCGAACCTTCTTTCTGGCGGCCAGCAGGACGTACGGCAACAGCGCGCCGTACTGCCTTCGCGACACGCCGCGACACAAAGTGATGTCGGACTTTGTCGAGAACATGTACGAGGCCTACCCAGATCGAGCCAAGTTCATCTTCAGCTTCCACTGTGAGCTGTCACACGATGACATCAATCAGATCGAGGTGGCAGATGCAGACATGGAGGCGTTCTTGCAGCGAATGAAGAGCAAGGGACACCTGGACAATACTGTGCTGATTGTGATGGCAGACCACGGTCACCGTTTCACAGCAGTGCGTTCCACTCAGCAGGGTAAGCTGGAGGAGCGCTTGCCCTTCTTCTCGTGGACATTTCCGACGTGGGTGCGGCAGCGCTACCCGAATGCCATAGCAGCGCTGGAAGAGAACGTGGAGCGGCTGACGACGCCATTCGACCAGTACCAGACGCTGTCGCACCTACGACACTGGCCGGACGGTCCTCCCCCTGACCCTGCCAACCGTGCCGTCAGCCTCTTGGTGCCTGGCACGGCTGCTCGCGGCTGCGCGGCCGCCGGCGTGGAGGCCCACTGGTGCGCCTGCCTGCGCTGGCTTCCCTTGTCCATCAACGACTCTTCAGTGGTCGCGGCCGCGCGCGCCTTCGAGGAGTACGTGCTGGCGGAGCAGGAGCGCGAGGCTCCGGGCGCGTGCGCGCCGCTGGCGGTGCTGGCGGTGGAGCGGGCCGAGCTGCTGGCGCCGCAGCAGGATGTGCTACGTTTCGTCAGCTCCAAGGACGCGGACGGTTTCGTGCCGGACCTGAGCGGCTCCTCGGCCACTGAACAGACGCTGCAGCTGCGACTGCTGGCCGCGCCCGCCGACCGGACCTTCGAGGTGACCGTGGTAGTGGAGGGGGGCGGCACGGTACGAGTGAGACACGAGGACATCAGCCGCCTGGACCGCTACGGCAGACAGGCGCGCTGTGTCGAACAGCGCATGGACCACATGCGGAAACTATGCTACTGTCGAGACGAGCCGGTGGAAGCCGGTCCCGCCGCGCCGGCCGAGAGGCGCAGTGATATCCTGCCTCACGATGAACAAGCTAAAGTGTAACACGAACAAAAAAGTGACCGATTCACCAGTGGTGTTGATTTTATACTGATCTTTATTGTGGTGTGAATTATGTAAGTCACCGCTTGCATTGTGTTTTGCTGATATTTGTACACGTACGTAACGTCTCGAATTCCGAGGACCATGGAAAATGCTCATTAGATAACATACTTCACTAAGTAAATGATTTATTCAGTGAATTATGTATAGCTTTTAAAAGATCACTCATGGAAATTCAAGAAGTAGCATGATCACCCAAGCAAGCTCAAAAAGCTGTTTACGGAGCGAGCGAAGCGAGCGTAGTCTTTCCTTAGATTAACGGAAATTTCTGAGTATGAGCGGCCGGCCGTGCGGACGCTTTTGCGAGGCTTATATCTCAGCAACCACTTGACCGATTTACACGCGGTAATTTTTGTAGGGTAGCTTCATTCCTTCTACCAAGTATTGGACTATTCCCGATGCATATAGGTGACCCCTTATGCACGTGCCACGTGCAAAACGAAGAGGTGTCAGTTTTGTAATTGTTGCAATATCTCGGTAACTACTTGGCCGATTGCGCTGAAAGTTGGCATGTAGGTAGGCACCCACTAGGCACTGCACATCCATGTGCCAGAGTTGGGGTGCTGCTGCACGTGCGCACGTGCAGGGGTCGTTTCCAGATCTCGAGAACGGCTGGACCGATGGCGCTCAAATTTGGTACACGGTTAGGGACCAGTTAGTAGGGTGCCGTGCACAAGTCAGTTGGGACCCATTTTGCACGTGCGCACGTGCAGGGTGCCGCTCCCAGATCTCGAGAACGGCTGGGCCGATTGTGCTCAAATTTGGCACATCGTTAGAAACCGGTCAGTAGGGTGCCGTGCACAGGTCAGTTGGAGGTACCCCCTCGAAATTTCGCACGTGCAAGACTCACCCCCTCGCTCGCTCCGTTAGTCGCCCCAAAAGGCGCTATACTGGTATTATGATGATTCATATTTCATTGTGGATTTTGCTTTCTTGTTGATAATTCTTTCTTCACTTTTGCAAGTAGGCTTTGTGATAGAATGTAAAGGATGAGCGTTCGAGGAAGACAGGAAGTTCGAGGAACATATGCTACCGGTTGGTGAACACTAAATACCAATTTAGTGTTATGGTCTGGTTGAAAAAGAACAGCTGATAGGGAAGTTTTTGAAATGCATTGTCACCGAAATATCGAGTTGATCTTAGTCGAACGTTGTTATGGTAGAAGTCCTACTGTCCAAACTAGCCAGTGCGATGAAGTGCGCGAGGCAATGATGAATTAATTACGATTTTTGTTTAGTCTATAAGCTGCCACCTAGTGTTTAGTCTAACGACCACGCACTTAGATCCTGAACTGAACACGTCTCTGCAGTTCCCTTTTGACAAAAATGATCCATGGTAACCATTTCAGATACAAAACGAAAAAGCTGCGAACTTTGCCTTCGTGCGCACATTAGACACTTCTGTGGGCGGGTAGCACAGAATAACGGTCGATTCGGAGAGGACTCAATCTCTCCCTGCCTCCCCGGTTCATAAGGCAGGGCACCAGAGGTCGATTGATTGACTTCCATTGAGAGGCATCGAGTGGCACGGCGCGGCCGTAACAAGATTACAATGGGACGAGTTCTGTTATTGCCCACGGTCATCGCGTCAGCATTCAATACATTTCAGAGTCGCAGCAAGAGGCGATCATTCAGACAACCTGGCTTGAATTTTTATAATGCAGATGCCGTTGGAATATGCATGAATGGATATTGCACGCAAGTGCAATATCCAATCTCCATATTACGCTTATTTGAAAGGACATGAACTAACTGTCGACTACCAGCCCCTGACGATTTAGGTATAAGTGACAATGTCGCTAATGAAATATCATGCGATACTTCTTCACTGTCGATATATGAGATAATGCGCGCTAAATGATTAGAATCGTTCTTTATTCTCTCTAACCAGACGATAACCGCCTGTAAGGCATGCTTTTATCGACGTTCAAACCGTAACAAACTACAAAGCAAGCAAAGAAAGCAAACAAAGCAAGTCACCTATCGAGTTGTCGGATGATGTCAAGTGCAGCCAGTGCAATGCGAGCACATAGTTCCACTCGGGACGCCGCCCGAGATCGTCCGATTCAGTTCGATGTTTGACGGGCGATATGGCAGGTGTCGTGTAGTGATTTCGTCATCAGTCACGCCACTTCCGTCTCGGTCAGCGATAGCTTAGCAACAGAGACTGGTGAGGTGGGCAATCGGAGCAGAGGTCACAGAGGTGGAGAGGTCACGTCACAAAATGATGATGGACGGAGATGGGGATAGAAATGTACATAGTATTTGAATTGTTTTGTGCATCCTCGGAGAAGGCTTAGTGAGTGAGGTTAGGCTAGGTTGGCCTGGGCTAAGTTTACTTGTGTTTAACCCGGTGCTGGTGGTTTGAGTTTTCCATGTGCCGGGGTGAGGAAGGTCGCGCTGACCCCGTTTTACTCGACCCCTGGGTCACGTAGCGACACGTGGTAACTGGTAAGCAGCATTCGAAAGAGCGTGAAAAAAATGATAAAGAAAATACCCAATCATTTTTAGGTCAATTGAAAAGTCAGCTCATTAGAGAGAGGCTGGTCAAATTTAGCCTGTTTCAACACATTCTGGTAATAAATTTTTACTTAACCCGCGCCCCAGTGGCGGTCTCAGCCAACTTCGCCCTAGTGGGGGGGGGGGGCATATGTTACCACCCACCTCTAACTCAAAAACTAAGAGGGCTAGGAAGACGCGGTGAAAAGCAGTCGATAGCTCTCAATGCGAACGTTTGAAAGTATTTCGGTCATTTTTCACCTTAGAGCAATATTGGGGTCACCAGGGGTCATCAAAGGTCAAAATTTGCCAATTGTCATTATATTTTTCAGAAAACATGCCGCTATCTCAGGAACTATGGTAGCTAGAAAAACGCACGGAAGAGCAAACGATAGCTTTTGAACTCTTCTTTTGAAAAGGCTATTATCAATATTGACCTCAGGTCAACGGTTCAGCCTGCAGAGGGCAAAAACTCCAAAAATAGCTGCTTTTACGAAAAGTGTTTTTCGACAATAACTTTCGACTACAAAAAGCCACGACATTTCTATTGCCAGAATCGTGTTCCCCTCGCCGAGACGCGTCGAATGAACTATAATTTGACCTTAAAAGGTCAACTTCAAAATTTGACCTCAGGTCAAGGTCATGACCTTACCGGAAAAGGTCATGCTGCATATCAGTCGATGCGTCTCAACAAGACAAACCCAATGAGACCATCCCCAGCGTTCTATCTCTTTCCAATCGCGAGTTATTGGCAAAAAAAACTGTTTGTAGCCTCAAGTGACCTCGGATGACCTGTCTAGAGGCTATCAGCAAAAATGACACCTTGGTCATCACGAGTGGACTAAATCATTGTGATTCTGAAATATTTGGACTGTTCCGATGCCTACACACGGATCTAGAGGCATTTTCATTTTTCTCCATTGACTTGTAATGGAAAGGTCACGCCACTGACCTGACCTTAGGTCACGGATATAAAAAAATCTGAGATATACAAATTGTAGGTGCCCATAACAGCATGCAATCCGCCAAGTTTAAAACCTTTCTGACAAACACTGCAGGCTGGACATGATTGCAAACTTTTTTTAGGCTTGGTCAGTTAACTTGACCTGGTGACCTGACCTGACATGACCTGGGGTCAAAAATTTCACAAATTGTCCAAAATTGATGTACCAAAAGCTACCCCAAGTGGCGTGGCGCTACGCGCCGCGGTTTTTTATTTACACGCAAAAAAACGCGACAGGGTGGTAACATATGCCCCCCCCCCCCCATTGGGGCGAAGGTTAACAAAGGTACGACATTTATTTTGCCAGCATCGTGTCTCTCTCGTTGAGACCTCGGTTTCGCTACGGATTCACCTCGGTTTTTTGCTACGGACCTCGTGCCTACCGGCACTCGGTCCTCCGCACAAAAACCTCGGTGAAGAAAACGCATTTTCCCAGCCCCGGTCGGGAATATATATTGCCAGCATCGTGTCTCTCTCGTTGAGACGCGTCGGATGAACAATACATTGACCTTAAAAGCAGGGCTGCGGAGTCGGAGTAGGAGTCGGAGTTGGAGTCGGTCGGAGTCGACAGTTGTGACCGGAGTCGGAGTCGGAGTCACCGAAAATCTGTCGACTCCGCAGCCCTGCTAGGTCTGCGGAGTCGGAGTCGGGAGTTGGAGTCGGTCGGAGTCGACAATTCTGCCCGGAGTCAGAGTCTGAGTCGGAGCTGGTTTTTGAAAGCCGGAGTCGGAGTCGGAGTCGGAGACGCCGAAAGTCCATCGACTCCGCAGCCCTGCTTAACCCGCGCCCCGTTGGGCTCTGCCGAGCAACGCGCCCGGTTGGGGGGGGGGCCATTTTGGCCCCCCCCCCCCCTAAGATCTCGAGAACCACGCAACATAGCGACAAGCGGTAAACGGCGTTGGATAGCCCCAACGGGGAACTACCTTGTGACCCAATTTTATTGACCTAGGTCAAACCGATGACGTCACAGGTCAGGTCAAAGGTCCAATTTTCACCGTTTACAGGCACTTCAAGAAATGCGTTGTAAAATCGAGTAAAATGCATTTCTTTGAAAATCATCGATGGGGAAATGTTCTTCAAACACATATTTTGCTATTTGAGGTCACTGATACCAGGTCAGGTCACAGAGGTCAGGTCACGGGGAGGTCACAATATGAAAGTGTCGTGTGATACATGTTTTATGGTCCATTTTACATGACAAATGCGATTATATGGGTCAGGCAGCCTTTGGGGCCAGCTTAGATCACGTTTTGGTCAAGGTCAGGTCAAGGTCAGGTCAAGGTCAGGTCAAATTAGGTCAAATTTCAAAGTTAATATTTTTGCATAAAATGGGTATCGAATCGATGCAGCTCGTCACGGGGAGTTCAATGGTGGTCTTTGTTTTGCCGTACGTGGTCTAGAATTGCTAAAAATTGAGTTCAAAAATTTGACGTCATCATTTTTGAACAGTTTTTTCGCTATAACTTGGCCAAAAAACGAGATATCGATCTGAAATTTGGTATGTATATAGAAGAGCGCTGGGACTAT